GGGCAGGAACTGTATTTGAGGGCTTTAGAGCTGTCTGGGATACATTAGTGTAGCCACTTTCCAGCACAGTGCTAGCAGCTGTCAACACCCCATAAACGTTCATAGCTTCACCTAAGATTAGGAAAAGAAATCCACGGAGCACATCGTACCCTTCGGCATGGAAACCCCAGCAGTTAGAGCAGGTAAAGGTGCTACCTTAGTGCTGTGGAGCCCTGCTCAGTGGGTCCCACGGAAGGCACATTGGGCTTGGAGTTTGGCTTATCAGCCTCCTCTAGGACCACATTCAGGAGAGGCAATCTGGCAGCTCCTAGGCAGACAGTGAACAGGGTAAGATACATCATGTACTTTATCTGCCAGTAAAACTGGCTTGAGTAAGTCTTTCCAATCCAGTTTGAATACTGAGTGCTCCCATGCGACCTCAAAATATATATGTTAATATATAGTATAGCTAGGGGAAATGAATATTACCTTAAAGACTCAAGGGATAAAAGGAATGCTGAAAATTATTGTAGAAAATCAAAGAGAATAACTGATATTGTTAATAAAATACAAGAAAACATAGCTTTGCTTGGAACTGGAGCTAATATACAGTATGTTTTGTATAAGTACACGTGTATATAATTCATATATTTAATACGCATACATGCATATACGCAGAGGATACAAAAAATATGTACACATTTTAAGAAAGGAAAAAACTGTATTAAAATTGTAATGCTGAATATATGCTGAGAACAAAAATGAACACAAGTCACATTCAGCACCTCTTGTAATTGCAGAAGCCAAAGTGACTTGAACATTGCACATTTAACACAGTTTTTTCCCTCTTTAAAATGTATCTGAATGCATTTAGGATACAAATAGATCCAAAATGCATTTAGGCACGTTTTTGGCACCCTCTGTATGTATATTCACACAGTTCACACGTCCCAATTGTGTGCCTTTTGCAGTGTTGTAACACCCCAAGACGTGGTTCCTCTTTTTCTTCCTTTTATCTCCAGTGTAATTCACTGCTCCTGAGCAATAAACACCTGCTGGCTTAAATTCAATTCTTTCTTTAAACAACTTGCCCCTGGACTGCCCCTGCTGTCCTTGTCTTGTCAGTGGGTGAGGTGAGGGGCAGGGGCAGTGACTCCGAGATGGGGACTAAGGAAACCTGGCCAGCCCAGCTGCTGTGCGGAAGTCAGGGCATAGGAATCAGTTTCACTTCGCCTTACTAGTGATTGCTTCTGTGCAGTACAAGAATTCCAGATGCTAATTGATTCTACCCATAAATCCCAAACGCATTTAGGTGGAACTTCATACTAGCTTAGAGAAGAAGCTGCCGCTCTGGTTCCTACGGAAAGTGGATCAGAAATCGACCATCGTCTATCCCAACAAGCCCAGGTCTAGTGGGAGATTATTTGTAAGTACATGTAACAAATATCACTAATAAGGTGCTACTGCTCAACTTCCTCCTTCCCTAAGGAGGTCCTTTTACAGATTTTAAGTCCCCTCTGCCTATAGGAAAGAAATAGCTGTGCTCCCCCATCCCCCAAAAGTACATGATTGACCCACAAAAGGAAAGTGATAGGCAGGAAGAGAGAAGCATTTGCCTTCCTCTTCCAGGGGCTCCTCCAGAGCATCTGTGTTAACCGCCAGCCACTGCCCTGTGAGAGCCGATGGGCAGGAGGACCGGCCAGACGCTTGCAGTATCTTTTGTTACAGTGCAGGAATACTTCATTTGTTCTCCTAGTCACATGCCACTGACCTTTATGTGTAGATATAGGCACATATATGCCTGTGTCTGTGTGCTAAGGGTATAATAGAGCACACAATAAAGAACACACACACACACACACACACACACACACAGGGTGTGGCCTCTGTAGAAAATATACAAAACAATCTATCCAAGACTAAGCAAGGCCATTGCATTAGAATGGAAAAAGGACCAGAGGAAGAGTCAGAAGTATTGCATGCTAATCCTAACCATGCCTGGGGGCCCCCCATCTCTCTGACTATTCTTCTTGAGTTTATTGCAAGTTATTTTTCCCTATACAATCTCTGCGTATATGTCTTGAAGGTGCCTCAAATTCAGCTTATTTAAAGCCAGTCTTCACTGTTCCCATGTCTCACTCTCTCCCCACATCCCCTGCATGAAAATAATAATGAAGTCCCAGTCCTCCACCAAAGTTCCTTGTTGCAACCGGGGTCGGCACCATTTGCTTATTTGCCTGCGCAAGCCAGCCACCCAGGAGTCACCCTGGTGTGTCCCCTCCCTCTCCCTGTCCCCTCAAGTCCAATCGAGCATGTTTAGTGCCTGTGGACGTTCCCGTCTTCTCTCACCTGGACTCTGAGAATCGCCTTATGCTAGGTCATTTCCCCTCTCCCCGCGGCTCACCCCGGTTCAGAGACACTAAACTGAAACCAAATTTATTAAAATAACAATTCGGAAATTTCTCCTTGTACAATTTTGTTGCTTGGTTCAGTTGTAGTCAATAAGTGGGGCAGAGGGCGGCGCCTGTGGCTCAAAGGAGGAAGGCGCTGGCCCCATATGGCAGAGGTGGCAGGTTCAAACCAAGCCCTGGCCAAAAAAAAAAAAGCGGGGGCAGAGCAGCTGGAGAGAAATAGCAACTGATTTTACCACCTCCCTTGATGGGCGTATTTCATGGTAATTTATAAAATGACTCAGTTAAGCCCCTTCCTAAACAATCACCTCATTTTACCCCTATTTTATTTACACATTTTTAATGTTTCTTGTACGTTTAAATGTATTTGTCCTTTTTAAATGTTTAATGTTAACGCTATATTTGAATGTCTGACTTCATTTTATAGCACTTTGCATGTGTGTTTCTCATACAAACCTGGGGTTCTCTGAGGGCCACAGCTGTGCCTTATGAATGTTTGTGCTAGTGAGCCTGGTTGAAGTTTGGCTTCTGCTCAAGAAATAACTTCTGAATTGAACTCAACACGAGTAACTATTTTGCTTTATCCCACAGCATTTGTTTTACTATTTATTTTGCAACCATGAAACAAGACAAGAAATACCAAATGCTGATACATCTTTGGAAATGGAAATATTAAAGCAGAAATACAGGTGTGTATGTTTCCATATGCATTCGAGAGATTTAAAGCATGGTATAAGTTGGTAATGTATATTGGTGTTTATTTTGTATAGGGAGCCGTATTTTATGGACTGATAGTGTAGTTAGTGTATTGAGAATCAGGAGACACTTTTGAGACCCGGCAACTTATTTGCCACTGCTGACCAGTTTTCCTTCCAGTGATGAGTGAAAGAAAATTTAAATGCTGATTTCTTTTCTCTTGTGGTACTATCATAAGCTGCATTCTTCATGAGTCATCAGAGTTCATACAGTAAAGCTCTGAAAGCATCTGAGGATCCCTGGAGTAACTAAGTGGTGGTTAGGTTTAGTTTACTGGAGTTTAAACCCCTATTCAACGAGGTACTTACTTACTCTGTGACCCTCGGTAAGATGCTTCACCTTTTTGTACAGTAGTTTCTGTTTGTAAATGGGAGGAAAAGTAAACTAGCCTTAAACTAACAGTGTAACTTCGGAATGTCACTTAAACTTCAAGATAAGTATTCCTTGGAGGGATTATGGCTGCCACAAGGCCATATATGTCAGGACAATTGATCTGATAAAGAACACTGCTGCACCTGTGCCTGCCTGCACTTGGGAGAGCCAAAAGGGCAAATGAAAAGATAATAACGAAGTATGTATGTTCCTTCAGGCTGAAGGATCTCACTTTTCTTCTGGAGAAACAGCATGAGCTCATCAAACTCATCATTCAGAAAATGGAGATCATCTCCGAGACAGAGGATGAAGATAACCATTGCTCTTTTCAAGACAAGTTTAAGAAAGAGCAGTTGGAACAGAGGTGCAGCAAGTGGAATTCTGTGTTAAGGGCAGTCAAGGCAAAAACACAGCAGCCTGAGCATTAGTTAGCAAGATCTGTAATGGGGCTTCCGAGGGAGGGTTTGTATGACCTGCTGGGTCTAATTTCCAATTTGGAAAGAGTCAGAAAGAAACAGAAATCGGGTTGATTTTACTACATGGGAAATTGTGGCTCTTGCATTCTATATAAAAGTTAAAACTATCTTTTCCTCTCTTTTCATATTTTCTGCCAATCTTTGTACATTGGGAATATCCTTGCAGATATGTTCAAGTTGGACTTTAATGAGAGGTCATCTCATTATTTAAATGGGTAGAAAACTAATGTGCTAGAGCACACATTTTAATGGTAATGAGTGATAACTATTCAGCTAGAATGCAAATGCCAATACTAAATTCCTGCTTGATAATTATATCATACAATGTGTGATGCCTTAGAAAAATCATCTCCAGTATTAGAAATGCCGTAGATAATAGTCTCAAGTATTAGACTGAATGCTGCCAGTTGGAAAGCGTTCTTGTATTGAAAGACCCCGTGGGTGGCACCCTGTACACTCTTCTGTTCCTACCATGATGATCAGCCCCCCTCTGATTGCTGCTTCCAATACACCTGGTGTCACTTTGAACTATATAGTTAATGTCAAATTAGTGGACTTTATGATATGCATGAATGTTACTATAGGTAAAATGTTATTTCTGTATTTTTTGTTTGCCAAAGATCATAATAAATTTAACACCTGTGTCGTGTTCCACAGCCATTATTGTGTGAGCCTTTGTATTGCATTTAATTTTTTGAGATTTGGAAAAAATGCCTCCATCACATATTCCTTTTTTTCTGTTGACATCTAGTGCAAAGTATGAATTCATCACATAGCTCATCATTGATCTTTCCAAGGGCCTTCTCTTATTTTGTTTTATTCTCCCCTTGATCCTGATTCCCACATTGATCCCCTCAGTACTCCCCGGGGACATCACTGTCATTAGCATGTCATTGGCTGTGATTGTGTTCTTGTGTTGTGAACAGTGTTGTTTTGCCTGTGTTTTATTTATATAGTTGTTGTTATGCTATGGATCTTATTTTGATTTATTTCTTATTTCTTTCATACTTATTTCTGTTTCTTATTTCCACTGGACATTATGTTTATAAGACAACTATGATACCATACATCTGCCGAATTTTGATATTTGATATTTCACTGTGTGCACTCACTACACTGGATTTAGCAGTTCTAGAGATGGACAGCTTGGTGGCCCCTGCCTTCCTGCTATCACACACCTTCTCAAACATACATTCATATAAACCAGCAGAGCATGGAATGATGATATGTAATACAGAAAAGCAGACATTTTTGCATTTGTGGCCCAAGAGAACATGTGGCCTAGAGATAATGTTTTATGTACCTTAATACAAAGATATTTCTTCATTTTCTTTAAAACAGAATGCCTGGAAATTCATGATAAAGGAGCAATAATCAAGAATCTCTTGTTCCTAAAAAAATGGTTATTTGGTTTGTCTTCACACTTCTCAAACTTTGCATAGCATTGCCCAATATAGATCTCTAGTCACCATGTACTGACCCCCAAGAGTGTGTGAAACACTGTACCACATGTGTTGTGGGGGAATGTTGAAATAAGTGGATTGTCTTACATCAACCTCAGCAACCTGTGAGCTCTCAAGAAGCTTGGCGTTGAATGAGTCAATATTTACTTGGCAATTCTTACCTCCTTTTAGCCCAAACTCTGTGTTCTTCTACCCTTCCACTGTTTTTCTGAGTGCTCCTCCCCTCTTTCCTAACTGGCCTCTCTTTCCCACCAGCTCAGTCCTCATGAATACCTCCCAGATCAGTGGTTGGCCCTTTCCTCACATATGCCCTTCCTTTTCGGCCTCCTCCTCTTCATAACTTCACTTAGATATATAAAAATAAACCGATACATACTCTTTTGCCCCTTCTCCCAAATTCCAGTCCAGCATTTCCATATTTCTTCAAATTAATAGATATAAATCTGAATTTGGTGCATGAGGAAAAGCAACTACTCCTGGTTTCTCATTTTTTGAATATCAGATTAATATGAGAGTATAAATCATTAGGTTACATTGTTTGCATTCATTAGGTACAGTCCAAGTTGTCACTCAGCCCATAACCCAGGGCTGCGCCACATACCCCTACATTGTGTCCCTTAGGCGAGAGCTCACCAATCCATTTTTCATTGATGGTACCAGTATTATCTCAGACTCTTAGACTTGAAAAAATGTGCTGGGCTGTGTTAATCTTTCTAAAGTAGAGCTGTAAGACTTCACACCCTTATCAAAAACTTTAAAAGTTTTCTTTTAAGAAACCTAATCTTCTAAACCCATCTTCTCAGTCTAAATTAACCTTATCTTCCTGAGTTTTACATGTTGCTCAAACTAGAAGACCTCTGTTTTAGCAAAACACTTGATGGTTTCTTATCTCCCCACCTCCACCTGTATGCTCTTCCACCCAGAATGTCCTCTTGTCTACTCTTTCAAAGCTCACTTTAAGTAGTATCTCCATTTTGAAATCCTCTCCTAAAGCTGCCAACTGATTCTGCCTCCTGCCTGCTCTGAACTGGTGCACATAATGCTTCCCCTCTGGCACTGCTGCCTCTGTGGTGGCTGTGACTTGCCATGCCCTACCTCTCAACTAGGGGTAGACTCCCTGAGGTTCCTGGTTCACTGTCACCATTGAGCTCAAATGATACAAACAATTACACCCCACTTTATCTTTTCATCCTGTGTGGCTCCTAGCACAGTACCTTGCACATAGGTATGTGATGCTCAACTATATATTTATACAAATAATAAAAGTCAGTGAAAATAATAAATATCATAAGCCTGAAAGGTAATGCAAGAAGAGTCACTAAACTATCACTTTTATGCCTTTTTATTTCCACTACTTGAATCTGCATGGTTGTTTATATAATGTTTAACTACTGTTAAAAATATGACATGAGCAATAGATAGGTTTGCACTTTGCAAGAAGACAACTTGTCCTTAATACTTACCCTAACTCCTGTTGGTTGAGATCTCTAGTCTAGTCTAGTCTAGACTCTGAATATGTTTCTTTCCCTCTAAAATGGTGGTAATAGAATATATTTAGGGAAGGACATAGTGGGTCATGTCTGTAACCCCAAGCACTTTGGGAGGCCAAAGTGGGAGGACTGTTTGAACCCAGGAGTTTCAGGCTGCAGTGAGCTGATAGCTCCACTTGCACCGCAGCCTGGGTGACAGAGAGACAGACCCCACCTCAAAACTACAGCAACAAAAAAATAAAACAATAGAATATAGAATGTAATCCTCACAATTGAACAATTTCATGTGTGCCTGGTACTTGCCTCAGTTAAGACTATTGCAATGTGTTTAAGAAAACTGATTTATCTGAGATAAAGTGGGTATAAACCACTGGAATTACTCATAGAATTTCCTTGAACATTAATTAATTGGCAGCCTGACATAAACTGAAGCTTCCAGACACTTTTCAATCCCATGAGCCAAACTAACCCTGGAGTGTGCATATGACAATAAAAATCTCACATTTAGAGATTTTTAAAACTTTGTTAAAATAAATACTTTAGCACTTTTAATCTTTATTTTTGCCTTAGACTCAAATCACCAAACATGATAGGTTAAATCCTATGAAGAAATGGTTAGTAAGCCAAACAGCAGTCTTTTTTTTTTCCAGATTGATATAAAGATATATAATTAGGTTACATTCCTTGCATTTGTTAAGTAACATCTGAGTTGTATTTGAATCCTTCACCCAGGAGGTGTCCCATATACCCCTACATTGTACCTGTTAGGTGAGAGCTTACCTGGACCCTCTCCTTCTTCTCCCTCTTCTTGAATTTAATTGTGCTTTTCTGTCTTGCAGGCCCGTAGTTGTTCATCTGGTCTTCTTCATCAAGGGACTCAAAGTCTCTTCCCATGCAGCATTGACAGCTGATCACCAAACAGCTTGGTGACCCAAAGGGTTGGTTGCCTTTCAAATGTTGAGTGTGATGGTATAGAAATCCAGAAACTCTTGGAGAGCTGTTAATGCTCTCTTTTGTAATAATGTGTGCACTAATCACCATCCCGTATCACTTTAAAAACTTTCCAATTATAAATGTGCTAAGAAACATCTACCTGTTCATCCAAATTTAAGTAAGATCAAAAATGTGGAGAGTGGGCCATGAGGTGACAGGGCCCCCACAAACTAGGAGACATTCAGGTGAGGTGACAGGGCCCCCACAAACTAGGAGACATTCAGGGAATGACCTCCAGCTGCTTTCCTCCAGCTGAGTCAACATGTTTTTCTCCTTCTTAGGTATTTTGCCAGAAGTCACGTATCTTTTTCTTTACCTAGTTAATCTTTAGAAATTATGCAGAAAACTATGTGACCCTTCCCTTTTTCTTTCTTTCTTTTTTTTTTTAATTAAATGATAGCTGTGTACATTAAAGCAATCATGGGGTACAGTGCAGGTTTTCATATGCAATTTGAAATATTTTCATCAAACTGGTTAATATAGACTTTATGTCAATTTTCTTAGTTATTATGTTAAGACATTTATACTCTACTTTTAGAAAAACTCACTTTGTACCCTTGTAAGACAAACCATAGAGGTGACCCCACCCATACCCTCCCTCCACCCATCTACCCCTCTCCCCTCCCCCTCCCCATATTCTTTATTTCTTATCTTTAACATATGTTAACAGTGTTATGCAGTAGAAACCCTTGACAGAATGAATTATTCTTAATATAGTTATTTTACATTTTCAATCATATTGTAAGATCAAAACATGTTTCTTGTTTATGCTACTTTCTCACAAACAACTCTGCTGACATACTATAAGACAAAGCTGATTTTGTATTTTGGCACTGGTTTCAGTTGTGACTGCTCCAGACCTCCTGATCCCATACTTGTCTCTTGTATCTTTTCTCTCATTCCCCACCATTCCCACTCTGGTTTGTTCTCTTTCATGCTGGTTTGCAAAAGGAAAATGTATTAAACCAAATTATATCTATACACACAAGAATCAAACCCAGTTCTG